GGGGGAGGCGAGCTCTGTGGGGTGCCCCGTGGGGGGCAGGGGCGTGACAGAATCAGTTGAAAACGTTGAACCTGATGATCTCTCTCACCCTGACGCTCGTAAACCAAGGAGGCGGAGCGCCGCTGTCGGGGTGGTGGCTGGTGAAACAGAAATTCTGTCTGTCAGGTATTGCTTCGGTGATGACTTGAAGGAGAGCTCGTTGTACGTTATTATCTTTTAGACTACCACAGAAAAGTTGAGTGACAGTCCTCTTAGCATTTTTTTTTATTTTTCTTCTTGAAGATACTGCCAGTTGGAAAGCATATTTTCCATCCTAATTCCAGAATCCCTATTTTCTTACTTGGATGTGAGTAATGATTTAAGTGATACTGATAAAAGTTCTAAGCTCTGCCTGTACTTACAGTAAGGAGAGCTGTTTTATCTAGTGGTATGAATGCATTTCAGCTAATCCCTTAGAACTGGGGAGGGCTCTGTATGCAGACAGACTTTCCCTGTGATAAATGTGTCCGTATGTCACAGATTTAGATAATAATATGCTCTAGAGGTCCCTGCTTGGGCAGGGAGGTTGGGCTAGATGATCTCCAGAGGTCCCTTCCAACCTAAACGATTCTGTGATAACAGAAAGATGTATCATCAAATAAACCAAAGAAAGTGAGATTTCATCAGCTGATATCATAAATGTTGCATGCAAAGCCTCTGGTGTTTGTTAAAGTCACTGTAAATAGTAAGATGCAATTAAACTTGTTCTGGATGAACAAGAAGTAAAGTACTACCATAGTATATATTTATGGGACCAGCTGTTTTATAATTAGTTGAAAAGCATAGTGACATTTGGTATCTCATGATTAAAGGTTGCCCTTTCCCAAAGAGGTACATAATAAATCCTCAGTGACATTATACCTTTTTCTGAGATGTTTGATACAGATGTTTTCATTATCCTTAGCATGATACTAGGGATAGAGCTTTAAAGTTTCATTGTGAACGGGATTTAGAAGAAGAACGTCAGGCACTGAAAGAAGATCAAAAAACACATCGGAGGAGGGCACAAAAATTTTCCATAGAGACAAATAGAAGAAGGAAGTAAGTAAATAAGGTTCTTTTGGCAGGAGACTGTAAAGAATGGAGTCAAAGCTTTGAGACAGCTCAATATATTTCTACTGTTTGCATGTTCAGATAGTCTGTTAAATAGTGTCACTGTTTTGTTCTGAAAGAGTCTAGGCCTTAAAGTTTCACTAATCTAATTTCTTGCTATAGAACATACAAAAAGCACAATATTCAGAGTTACTGAATTACTTCTTGGAAACTTCCTGTAGGCACCCTTTTATTGTTTAGAATAAAAGTAAGCAGTGCTTTCATTTTGTGCCTCTGACCTGCATTTCTAGTATTTTCTTCAATTTTTGTATTAGCTTCAGTGAGTGTATAATAATGCAGATACACCATAAGAATAAGCGGGCAGGAAGTCTCCCGTTACCATTGTCTACTGAAGTGTATGCACTTTTAGTTGTGTGACTCTCCTATGTGGTGAGCCTTTGTACACCCACTTCCCAATAAACTCAAAATTAAGGCTTTCTAGTACCAAAATATATTTGTAATAAAGTTTTATTTTAAAGGAAGCTTTGAATGCTCTGCCTTTCTACATACATGATAAATGCAAAGCGATGAAATACTCTATGACAAATGGATCAAATAAACTACATCCTGAGACATTTTGGTGAAGTGCGGTAAACAGTGTAACGGGCAGGGAGGGATCTTCCCAGGCACTCAGAAGATACTGTCACATAGACCTAGAAACTAGGCTGTGTGTGTAGCGGAGACAGAAGGGTTCCCCTCTGAGACAGTTCAGAGCGAACCCGCAGCCTCAAAGCTGTTTCCTCTGCCTTGTGTTGACTCTGAAATGCTCGTCCACTGCAGTTCCATGTCAGATGATTTCTGTTACACAATGTTTACAGTTGAAATATATTGATAACTCAGAACAGAAGCAATAGATATTGTTTATACAGCCCTTATAGCTTGACAATGGCTTGATACAGTGTGCTGTCAGCAAATATTTTAAAATATAAAGAAAAATGGAGGAGGAAGTATAATCACCTGGGACTGATTAAAGACAGTGTGTGACCTGCAGCTTTTGCAGATAGTAATAAACTGAGTCTTGGCTGAAAGATAAAATATCTTAGTTCTCTGAAATGGTGCTGCTGTAACACCACGCACCTGAAATGGATGCTGTTTATCATATTACTGGTCTTGAAATACTATACTCCAATGTAAA